GTGGTATGATGCGACACTGTGATACTTATAATCAAATGTATAATCATGAATTAGACCTGACATCGAGTCTAACAAGGAAAAATCTGGCTTACGTTCATGGAATAGAGAAGAATGAATACCAAACAAAATTGAAAAAAAGAATAATGAATAATTCGGAAAAAAAAAACCAAGAATGATGAATATTCGAGGTCCCATTATTCAGCTTCCACCATCGATGAAGTTCCTTTCAGTTGAATCTATTGTGCTAACTCTCAAGAGAAACAGGACCGGTGTCAAGCGCTTGGGTTGCGCGAGCTCAATCAACGTTTTTAATGGCTTCCGAAAAAGAGCGCCGAATATTAGGTTGTCGTTGCCTTAGCTTGATTCGATTTCATATGAGGAAGGAGATTTCAGCGGCCAATACTGCCTTCCGCTCCAAGGTCAACTTGTACGTTAGGAGGGCACTCAAATTTGAGTTCATATGGAGGGATTCAATAGGAATATTCGGAGTGTCAGGTGGGGTTTTTGGTACAATAATCCAATGTCAAGCGATCGACGGAAGATTTTATCAATATCTGCTTGATCGGACTTAACCTTCATCGGAAACATGCTATTAACAAAGCTGTTAGAAGGAAGTGCTCTTCAGGAACTGATCTTCAAGAACTGATTGAACTCTGTTCATACTGTACTGATTGCAGGACTGACAAATTTAATTTCAGTTGCAGAGCTCGAGGTTGGGATAAATTACAACTGAATGGGGCCGAATTATGTACTTGAAGGCTTCAATTTGCAACAAAATTAAGCTCTTGTTGTATGGCTCATAATTGAGCATTCCCCATCCCCTTTCAATTATGTTTCTGAACAGAGAGGCACTGGATTGCTCAGCTAGAGAAGGGATCATAGGAAAGGACTAGGGGTTGCAATTGGGTATTGTAATGTATGACAATGAGTTTGAAACAAAGGAAGATAACATTTGAACCAAGGATAACATTGAACCACAACGTATACATCAAATTATCAATGGACAACTACATCAGCATTCACTGTTAGTGACAACTCTTAATTTTTAGCTACATATATCATTCTTTGCATATTAGTTATTTATATAATAAGCTCAGTTATGCACGCATTCTGATTGATTCTCACTCATGATCTATTGAAGGACAGACTATAAATGACGTCATCATTAAAACTTTTTTAAAATTTTTTATTATATAAAACAATTAGATTCCAAGTTGCTGTGCGTCTGTTCAGTAATAGATCACAGAGGACGTCAAAATGTGGTAGGAACATCGTGACACATTTTTTGTTCTTACCACATTTTGACGTCGTCTGTGATCTATTATTGAACAGACGCACGGCAATTTGGAATCTATTTGTTAAATATAACCTCGACTGGCTTACTTCACAATTCCCGCGACTTGGAAAACTGATGCTTTCTCGGTTGTTTTTCGCCGTTTTAATGCAATTCCCCTAGTACAGTAAATGGTTTGAGCCCGGGGTAACATGTAATAGTGTAGTTGGATCGTCGAGGTGAGTGTAGTCCTGAGAAGGACTATTGTCCGTTACCTGAGCGGAAGTCATCTTCAGAGTCAAGTGCTTAGTAGTCACTTGACTCTGAAGATGACTTCCGCTCAGGTTGTCGAAACGTCAGTCACCACGACCGACATTGCCCTGAAGTGAAAATGTGAACGAGGACATGTACTCTGTCGTGGGCAAAATGTGCGATTAATCAATCCACCTCCAAACTTGAAAATCATGAACACTCGAGGGATGCGAGACGCACTCGCCTTCGGCTCGTGCTTCTCTGCACTTCTCTCGTGTTCTTAAAAAATTCCCGCGTGGTTATATAACTCAACATTACATTCGGCGCGTTTTTTATTTCTTTAACATAGCATTGTTACTGACACTTTTTCCTACAATGAAAAGTTTGAATGATAACAAGTGTCAGTCCCCCCACCCCCGCCTTTGCCCCCCTCCCCGTCCTACGCCCCCGCCCCCCCCTCCTCATGCATCGCGTTTTGCAAAATTTTTATGATAAAACAGTGGAGAACCTCTTATGCTTAGGCTTGACAAAGAAACGGAACCGACTACAGCCAACGTTTAGCTCAGGTCAGCAAAGGTTTTTATTAAAATTGAAGCATAACAAAAACCGATTGTAGTACGTACAGATGTTAATTCCCAGCGTGTCCTCCGTTCGGTAGATGTCACAATAAAACTTGCATGGACACAACGCCGAATACAACAAATATGCGATTAATATTTCCGAAATCGAACGATTACTGAAATTTACACTTGGAAACGAGTAAGTCGGACCCCATCGGATTACATAAAGTACGTGAATATAACCCAGACCGTATAGGAACGAAATTGTTTCGCCAAATATATTTCTCAACTTCCGGTACAATCGGGCTGTACACGCGACTCTTTTGTAAAAGAAACCTGAAGATGCGACCTCCTGTTTGTCGATGTTACTTTGACGCGACCCCACTGGCAAACCTCTTTCCGTCTCGTCTCTAATCTTCCCGCGGGCGGGCGGGCGGAGAAACACGCGTCCTGGATTGCTGATGACTAGGACCTGCTCGCAATTAGTCTCCTTCATAGCCATTGTTTGGCCTCGTCACGCAACGTTCTCTCCCCCACCAACGCGGAAGAGAACGTTGCGTGACGAGACCAAACAACGACCGCGAAGGAGACTAGCTCGCCGGCCACCCACACTCTATAATTAACTAAGCACACCATAACAAGCTTAATATTTCCGGTGAGATAAACTTTCAACTCATTTCTTGAGATATGGTTGACAGATATCTTTATTTCTTGCAGTAGACCGCCATAAATATATAAAATTTTACTTCTAAAGCTTCTCCAGGTTAACAGAATCACCACGTGTCAAATTCTCTCACGATGGGCAACACATTTAAGACTTGTGACTGTTGAGGCCCAATCCACAGTGCGCAATAACCCAAAAAACTTTCAAAATTATTTTCAGACACATTTTCATACTGTGAGTTAAAGTTGTCTCGTACGTTTCGGGCAAAATTCGAAACTTTTCAGAAAATTGCTAAAATCAACCGAAAAAGGACAAATATAACTTACATCTGCCAGGACAATACACCTTTTAACCTATTTCTCTCTCTTCAGCACGCAAAATGTGGATAGACTAGTCTAACATCTATAAAACCTGAACAAATAATAATATAAAGAACATGATGCATCCCTATTCACGACCTTCATTCCAATCTCCCTGAGAAAACAACTGAGTCCTCTTCCTAGAATGGCTGACTCAGTTCTGTTCTATTACAGTCCTACTGCATCATTATCTCAGAATTACAGCGGAAATAAAATCAACTAAATGGCATCTTGGACGGCGACATTTTGGGGGAGCCTATTTCGCCAATGTTGGATGAGGCATTCGCTTGGATCTCATGAATGGTGTTTTGAAATCTTGACCATTCATCCACTCTTGGGACAGCAAGTTGCTAAAACAAATCAAGAAAATAGAGAAAAATGAGAATAAGCGTAAACTATAAGTATCGATGGGTTTAACCGTGACGTAAGCAGTAATACGGCCAAAAAACTTAGTGTAAATTGACAAATTTAAACCGATAGTCGCAAAAAGAGGTAACCAAAACAGACTTTCCGGTGGAAACAATGGAATGTTATTAACCTAGCCTGCAGTGAGGGCGTAATTTTGGGGAGCGAGTGCTCAGTTTTTTCTAAGCGAAAATTATGGCTGTCACCTTTGATTTAGATAGCAGCGGAAGGCTGGGGAGAGAAAGAAATTTGTACCCAGGGGATGAGAGACAGTAAAAAAAGGGAGAGGGATGGGGGTTGGGGAGAGAATATTACGCGTCTTTTCGCCTTTTCCCGCCCCCTCCCCAACCCTCGACTCTGACTCCAAATCAAACAAGGCCGGTTGAATAAACGAAAGCGCGCTTCTTTACGTTAACTCGCCCTTATAAGACGCCTGCACTGCTGGCTGATATTGACATTTAGCCGTAAAATAGCCAAAATTTTAAGCCATCACCCATTGAGACCTTCTGAACTGTGTGACAAGGAATCTCTTATCACCACAGATAGACCACCCTGGGAGTTGGCCCTCATTATTAGTACTTCGGCCCGGGCGTTTCTGCCTCGCTCCCACCCCACCCCCGCGGGTAGGTATGTGGCCCTGACAAACGCAAGGCGAGAGGTCTGCACTGATATTGGTGCCCGACTCTTGGGTAACCTTCCCCCTACTCGTCTCAAATCTTTCCGCGGGTGGAAAAACACGCGTCCCGCAGTGCTATTATAAGGGCTTGTGTGCAGGCTATGAGCATTATGGCGGTTACCAATGAAGCACTAAACAGTAGAATTTTGAAGGCAACGTTCTCTGACAACATGAAATAAGTAAGCTGAAATTTCGATGAAACAGCGTAGTTCTCCTCCTGCTATACCCAAAGGTTGATAATGTTTCAGTAACAGGGCGTTTTACGCGACTCAGAGAGGCAAAAAAAAAACCCTACAAACTTAGTGCATAATATTAAATTTTACTTTCTTGAACTGACAGTTTCTGATCACGATACTTTGAAAACAGTAATTATTTCCTGCTCTACGTGAGTATGTAGTTAACACACTTACTAAGTTCTCCGCCTGTGTTATACAAAACGCTAGTACTTACCTCGCCAACATCATAGATGAATACGTGACCGTCATCATCACCCACGGCGATCTGGTGACCAGAATGCGTCCATCGTAAACGATTAAGTGACGTCATTGATTCGGCGCTGGTGCTCGCTGTTGGTACCTAGAAAAGATGACGAACAGAGGTGGAGTGAGGAGACGTGGTTAGCTTTGTTTGTTTAGTTTTTTTTTTTTTACATACCGCATCAGAATTGCGTTACACCAAGCCGCAACGTTCGGTAAAATCAATATCGCTTCAGTTCTATGTCCTTCATACGATTATCATATTATAAATTTCAACACCAAAGTTACGAAGTAAATGAAATTGAAGCTTGCCATCTACTTGATTCTCGTAAAAATACAAGCTACCTGATGCGAGTATACATCAAGAAACCTTTACTAATAGAATTCATGCCCGATGGTTATATCCGATACAATATAAGCTTAAATCGTAATATGTTTTAATACAAAAACTGAGAGGCATTGTTATTCTTTTCACGTCACGTCACGCGACGTCAATCAAATACAAGCAAACAAAACATACGAATTTACATCGCTATTTATGAATACCCACTGATTCGCGGACAAAATAAAGTAAAAATTATTGGTCTGGTAGTATCTCATTCGGTCTTTATCCCTTTTATTCACAAACGCAAATAATGTCGAACCTTTAACATTTTAAACCTGAACCTCTGCATTAAATTTTGCTTCACAGGCATGAAAAACCGTCTAGACTGTGCTATCCAAGGATTTGACCTAACAAGACCTTTTCAATGTGACCGGACTTTATCCTTTAATCGGCCGCTAGTTCAAGCCCTTTAATAAACTTAGTGCACTATTCATTCCAAAACGTAGAATGGCTTTGCTATATACTCAGTTGTGTGTGCGTGTGTGTGTTTAATCATGCATGGATACAAAACATATTGCGGCGTTGATGTTCTTGTTTCACGGTGTTGCGGTTTTGAGATATCCACATTGCACCCACCACAAACGCTTGGAATTGAGCATTTCCTTTTCAGTGTGTAAAAATAAAAAGCTAAATTACTGGTCCAGTGTTTGAAACATCATCAAGTCTTTCTCTAACACTGTTTCAAAAACTCCACACAGCATCTGTAAACATGATCGAACATCATTTCATAATCTGAAATGTCTCCATAGTAAGGATCACGTATTATCAACTCTCCTTTAGGATCATATGTGCCAAACAGTTTAACCTCCGCTTGCGCAGTGCCATCATTTGGCTTAAAAGTTTCATTCAGATCTCGCACATTGCTCTCATCAAAGGCCAATATTACATCAAAACGACGAAAATCATCCTCGTTTACTTGTCTTGCTCGGTGGTTGCTAGTAATTTCATGTTTCTTCAACACTTGCAACCCCCGTTCGTCCGATAAGAGTCCTTCACGAAAACCAAGAGTTCCAGCGCTGTCAATCTCCCATTCGTTCCTATCTTCACGTTCCTGTAAAAGATGCCTTAAAATCGCTTTAGCGGAGGGAGACCGACAAGTATTCCCTCGACAAACGAACAGGATTTTTCGATATTTAGAATACGCCATATTAGATTGCAACAAGACTTTCAAAAGCGTTCACGTGGAATACATTTGGTCGCAGCGGGAAGAATATGATTACGCAACAATGAAACATATCTCTAATGTGTAATATTGGCATAATAAATTTTACAACTGACTGAATATGAGCACGAATAAGGTGCATCATGAGTTCAAATGAGTGCGTGCCACAGAAAGAGCTACTTTTAAACCCGATGGAAGAAGTGCTTACAACTAACTTAGTACATGTACCATGTTTCCTACACACCGATTGAGTGCTCGATACGCTCACTCTGATATCGATATTGGAAATTCGAAGAGAAATTCAATACCTGCGCGCGCCTATGTTTTATTCTCTTTTTATGTCAATTAAATGATTCATCTCGAACATTGACCACATATTTTATTCATATTGTATATTCACATGAGTTAGCTTTTATTATTACGACAATCATATCAATAACAATTTTTTTTCCGAACTTTGCTGCTGTACCGTGCGTTCCACTATTCCTGCATTGAGTTCGAGGCTGCATGAACAATAAACTTAAAGGCGTGGAAATGTACTACTTTCAAATGTAAACATCACAATGTAGGGGGTGGGGAAGGCATTTTCAAGTAATATATCAAACACGAGGAAGAGTGTTTTATCCGATATCTAAACACCGAGAAGGTGTTTGGATATCAGGTGAAACACCCTTTCGAAGGTTTGATAAAGCTTCTCAAACTATTAATAATTCTTGGAGAAAATCAAAGCAAAAGTTCACCAAATTTTATGATAATTAAGATCACCTATCCACACCTCCATCACGGTTGCAATTTCCCTTGTTTTCTCAGCATGAATTATTAATGAGTTTGAGAAAGATATGGCGCAATGGTCACTTTTTCGCCCAAAAATGTCCGATCAATAAGTTTGACCGACGGCTCGACATTATTTCAAGGTCTGTTCGTAAGATCATTCCACATGAAGACTTTTCCGAACTTTGCACAAGCTACAGGGCCCTGTTTATACTACGGATATCCTAATGACCTATGAAGCTTCGTAATGAAAACACGAAGAGCAATGCTGATCGTTCCAGTTGCAGTAAAAAGGACGCGAGTTAACTTACCTTGAGAGAAACATGTCAAATACTGCCGTTTCTGCATGCTGTTATGTCTTCTTTAGTATAGTTCTACTTGCGATTTACAACAATTGCTGCTTTATGATTGGCTACGCTACTCGCTACCTATTCTGTGATAGATGGTGAGTGAAGTGCGCTTGCCAGTTATCAGCACATGACGTGACCGCTTTGTACCATTATTCAGTAAAAATCACAAGCTTATCTTGCTTTTCAGTTTGAAACGACTGGTTCATGTAGCTTTTTAGCTTTAGTTACATTTTTCACGCTCGATTTCTATACATGAAAATAGCTTCGGCCTTCGCCCTCATCAACTACATCGAGTACATAATCTAATCGTTGAAACAGAATGGAAGTTCATAACCACTTTACCTCTGTGTCGTTGTTAAGATTCCACAGGTCCAGTCTTCCTGTTCCGTCCACGGCAGCAAACAAAGCAGGATGGATTGGGGACCACTGTACGTCATACAAATAATCGCCATTGTCTTCAAAAGAGTACAGCGGACGTGGGTTCTGCCAATAAATATAACACTGTCAATAAAGATGTTTAAAACTTTTTGTTAAGGGAAGGGGAAGCGAAATACCCCTTGAGGATTTAGCCGATGCGCAGGCTCTCAATGGCGCTGCTGGACAATCACTACGTAGGACAAACACTATACAAAGTCGCAGAGAGAGACGAGCCAGCCTGCTTCACTCGCTGTCGGAAGGAGTACACAGACATTCCACGGGCTCGGCGAGGAGCGTGAGAGGATTTCGTGAAGCAGCGCCACTACAAGAATGGATTCGAACCCGTGCCAGTTATCTTTTTTATCCTTGTAATGTTAGCAATGCCTTTTTCCTTTTGTACAACGTCATCTTGCCCGGTACAAGGATTAGAACTCCGTGATTCCTGGCGAGCATTCAATGACTTAGGAAAATAGAAAGGCAGATGTAAGAGAGTCGTTCGAAAATTTCTGTTTAAAGACCTTACCTTGTGACTCCACAGTTTGATGGTCCAATCAAATGAAGATGTCAAAAACAGGTAAGAGAAGTCAATAGGTCCTGCTGCCGAGTGAGTATCAATGCCTGTCGCTGGTCCATAATGACCTTCAAATATATCACTGATTCCCGCTTTACTATAAAATATAAGTAAACAAGGATTTCATCCACTTTGAGTTTGGCACAATTCCGAAACAGTTGAATCATACGAATGCTCTTTGAGAAACATAATGCGCAGTTGTAGAAATATGAGCTAATACGTTACGTTGATCCAGATAAAGCTTAAAATTCATTTATTTTTTCCCTTAGCCTGATGGCTGGCGTTTTTTTCAGGGGGGAGGAGAGTGGGTGGGGGCGCTCTATGGAAACAAAGGTGGCGGGAGCATGAAAATGAACAACGTAGCTTCCAGTGGCGAAACTTATCACAGTTTTCTGTTCCGTATCTCTCACGGTATCGCCGCACTTCAAGCTTTAGAAAGATCATAGAAAGCTCCAACACCCTTAATATTGAAAAACCACAGAGCAATTATCACTAAAGTAAGCTAAACACATCATATACATCTAATCTTTCAGCATTGCCGACTCTTAGAAACATTTTACAAGGTAAATAACGGTCTCCTGGTGCTTTTGTCACAGTGCCTCTGCCTTGTAAGGTCTGACTTTTCTTGTCACTATCACCTCTTCATAAGTTCTACTGAGTCAAGAAGTGTTTAAAAATATATATTTTCGTTCATTAGAAAGTTCTCGTTTTGATGATTACGCACCAGCGTTCTCCTGCATGTCCTGCATTTGTAAAATAAGGTGTACAGCGTTCAAGACAATCTCAAATATGCGCAAGTTAAGCTTACCTTCCATGTCGACAGGCTGTGTAAACCGAGCCCTCCTCGCTCCCAACCACAAAATTATTGACATCACCGGCCAAAAACGATAAACACGTCACAGCCACAGCCTTGGACTGTTTAAATTGAAGCTCCATGCTGTCCTGAAATAAACAGAGATGGCAAGGAAGAACATTTAAGGCAAGTGCTAAATGGAGCTATAACATAACATTTGGGTATTTTAAGGTCAAAAATGAAATAAAAGATTGCAATTATCATTCGTTGAGGAAGAAAAACACCGAGAAGGAAAAAGTAAACCAAAAAGAGAACAGAATGTAACCACAAAACCAGCGCCACTTTCTCAACCAAACAGATTTAAAACTACTGCCAATCGCGACATGGTAACCTGCGTTTCCCCATGCATGAAGCAGTTTGCTTGCTGTCACTTTGAGTTCACAATGGTCGAGAAATTTCTTTTCATTTCATTAGTCCTTGTGATTTGTTGCTTTGGTTTTACGACTCTCGATCGAAAAGCGCCCCAACACGGATTACGAATGGGGACTTTGAAAAGCAATTACCAACTAAATTTTTCAAGTTGGTCAAACCATAAAAGAGCCTCCCAAAAGAGCAAACATCAGGTTGTGTGCAGTTTTACTATGCGGCAATTGTCCTGAGACGGACAGTTGCCGCTGACAACAGTTAACCACAACATAAGTAGGAGTCTAGTTTTGTCGTGATATGACAAGCTGAAGTAAGTTGTTAACATAACCGCTGACTCACCTGGGGCTGTGACAACATGTCAAGACTCCAAGAACACATCTTTCCATCAGTGGACACACTGATCAAATTGTGAGCATTTTGAGTTCCAACCACATTCACACAATAAACCGGATGCTACACAGAGAAAAGAAATCATCTAATTACACAATCGTTACGAAACAAACAAACAAAAACAGCAGTAACAAAACAGTACAAGTTTTCTTGTTTTGTTTCTCTTTACAGTCAGATAAAATGTTCATGAAGATGCTGCGTTTCAATTTCATCCGTTTTCAACAGATACACTGTTCATCCTTTAAGTTTGAAACTCATTCTTACACATACAGTACCAAAAACAAAAGGGAATAAAATACATGTATGATCAAATCTACAAATTGAAAATTCATTTGCACACCGTAATGATTCGATTTAGTGCCTGGTCGCTTATTTGCGTTTTATTAAGGATAGGGCGTTAATTCCTTTTTTTGAGAAACAGCAGAATATGCGAGACAAAGCTTTGCTGTTTATGTGAAGAGGATCAAGAAGACTGGAAAACGGGACTTGTTATCCCTGAATCCTTCCTGGCTCGAACACCCAGCCAAGCAATCGCCGAAAGATTTGAAGACGAGATCAGTCGTTAGAAATAACTGTTCACTCACATGGACGTGATAGTGGAGAAACTAAGACAAAGGCAACCGCTTTTAAAATGAGGCTTTAAGAAACCAATAAACCACGTTTGATCTCAATGTGCAGTACTTTAAGAGTGCTATCACACAAATAGAATAGGCACTTATTAACAAAATCAAATCGGAGGGGGCGCTTATTAGAGAGAGGAACGAGGGCGCTAAATCGAATCGTTACGGTTTATTCAGCTATCAGACATTTACTTAGCCCTGACATCCAAACACCAAAGAAGGAAAACAAAATTAACGTAGAATTCACTTACTGTGTGTGCAGTGGCAGAGAGAGGTGTTCTCTGCACTGGGGTCTTTTTACTGCTTCTGTTGTCCCACAATACAATTTGGCCTGAATATGTCCCACCAACGATTAAATTGGGATGAAACTTGGCAAAGGTAACTGACGTCACACCAGACTGAAATGGAAAGGAATTATCAGATCTGTAATTCAACGCGATGGTCTTAAAAATGGCTGAAAGACACAGGGTAGCTGTGGGATTAAAGTACTAAGGCTATATCTAACATATCTAATATATCTAATCTCGCCTGATATATGTGCGATGTTTTTGCATGATGGACAAGAAAGCGTACCATTTAAAAAATACATATCCAAGTCACAAGTATAACAAGAGGGAATATCAAAGCACGACTTATCAAAACTAGACTTCATGTTTTGGCAAAGGGGGCTTCAATTTCAGCTGATACGTATAATACATGCACCTATATTCAGCATGATAGATATTCCTTGCGATGCCCTTTACAGTAGTGTACTTAGTTGCCAAGCCTTTGACTTGGAGTGAGGCTGAAGGTGACCTTGTTGTGATGGAGACCAGTATCAAGTTAGCATGATGACAAAGTCATTTGCATTTGAAAAGCAGCAACGTTTGTATCATAACAAGCTAAGGTCACCCTTAGCCTCACTCCCGTTTAGAGGCTTGGCAACCAAGCACGAAACTGTAAAATGGACTATTAACGTTGATTAAACTTAGGCTGTCTTTGCACCGCTATAACATTGAGGCTGCTGCACACCTTAAAGCTTTTTTAAAAAAT